TATCTCTCAGCAGCATAACACAGTGCTGGGAGGATCGTTGAATCGAAAAGGTTAGCGGTGATTTTCGTGTCCTTCGGTTGGGCGGTGGCTTCTTTGAGAGGCCCGAGTGTGGCCGAAGCTGCTCTCCTTCTTATGTCTAATTCCTACTTCATGTTGTTTTCCACATCCACTGATCGCTCATGGTATATGTACGAGGTAATCTCTGTAAACAGAGAGCCAGTTAAATTTTTTCGCCTTCGCACCATGGGTTTTTCATGAACTGAGTCTTCTTCTGATTTATGCGTAGTCAGATTTTTTCTTCCCGGTTTGTTGAGCTTATTGATTATCGTCTCTGCTTCGCTGGTATTTCTTGAAAAGGTGACGATATCATCGGCGAAACGAAGGCTTGATGGGAATTTTCCATCAATACGTGTGCTTTTCTCATCCCAATCGAGTGACTTCATTATCTACTGCAGTGTGGCACTAAACAGCTGTGGCGATATTGTATCGCTCTGTCGAACCTCCTTCCCTATGACGATGGGAAGAGGTAGATAGAAAAGCTGTATTTTCATAGTACAATTCCGATAACAGTCTGACAGAGTTCTTCTGTAAGACGGGCCCTCTCCTTGATCGACGAGCGCTGATAGAATTGCATTCGTTTCGACACTCAAACGTCTTTTCATAGTAGAGAAAGGTTAAGACTAGAGGTGGGTGGTATTCCCAGCAAACTTCAATGGCCATGCTGCACACAGTTTGGTTGTGGTCCATGCAGCAAAATCCTTGTCGAAATCCTGCCTGCTCCACTGGTTGTGCCTCACCCAATGTCCTTGATACACGCGAGAGGATAATCTTCGTGAAGAGCTTGCAAAGCACTCAACAAGCATATTGAACGATAGTTACGAAGATCCCTTCGATCACCTTTCTTGCGCAGGATGGTCGTGTACGACGTCTTCCACTATTTGACTTTTTCCTTTTGAAGGTAGACTGCCATATAGTTGGCGAGAACAAAACGCATGTAAATTGTGGCTTCCAAGTCTAAAGAAGACTGTGATGATATCATGGGGTTTTTGAGCTGTGCCTCCTTTCATGCTTTTTATCGTAACTCGAACTCTCGACAAAGAAATTCCAGGTGGTTTTTCTCCAGTGATAATTTTAGAGTCTGGGACAGGAAGTTGCGAAACGGAAAAAGGTGTTGTAGAACGTATCCGTTATTAATTCTGTATCATGGTGGGAGGTTTTGATGATCCCATCTTCGTTCATGAAGGCTGACAACAGAACATTCTAATCACACAAATCCCGACGACATTTTTTCAGACAGCTTCTTTTCACTGCTGCTTCCAGTATCTTCTTCCGCCTGTACCGATGTGGATCTTTTTGCAAAGCACTTCTGCAACTGGAATTTATTACTACCCGTGTGAAACGCCTTGCAGTAGGATCATGCTTCAGCTTCCTTCTCTTTTCGAACAACTCCTTAGTAGTAATGGAGATGCTGTGCGATCTTCTTGCTTGGAGAAACTGAGGCAAATTCGGTACACTCTTTCAGTCCTTCGACAACTAGCTCGTAGTCTGCGGTTGGGTCTTGCTTAAACTGCCAACCATATTTGGATCGGATTTCGTTCGGAATGTTCTCATCGTACACAGCTTGACTTTTTTCTAGTGAAACAATATAAATAAAAAGGGTAAAGGTTAAAACTCTCGGCGTTGATCAATCCCTGAATATGTGCCAAGCATTCGACTTCATTAAGTATCGTGGTGATTGAATGCATATCTGGCTTTAACAATGACTCGCGGTGGCCTACTGATGTCTCGAGCCACGGTTGCTAACCTCCCAGACAAGTCTGGTACCAATTTGCCGATCCTAGAGGGATGGAGGGCGTGGTGGGCCATGGGCGCGGGGATTGACTCCACGTGTGTGTCGCAGGGCGCCTCCACCCACTTCTCCACACGCGCTCCCTCGTGAAACAATATAAAGGAGATAGATACCACGACTTCAGAGCGCATTATCGATCCAGAGAGCCAAGAATTGTAGCCTGAATGACAAAGCTAAGCGTTCTACCTTGATAAAGACGGATGATTATAGCCTATAGAACAACTGCCAACTTCAATGATGCTGAGATATTTTTGCAAAACTCCGGACCGCAGGTTTCTGCGGTGGGAAACGCACCCGCTATTGTCCTTTCCAGGGAGTAACGCGTTAAGCACCACACCATGCGGGTCCTTCCTTTCGCCTGTCTCTCAGCTAGCTCTATCGATCTTTTGCCATCAGCAATCACCCGTTGGCAGGATTGATCTGGAGAGCCCAAATCGAACCCGGTTAAGCTGAGGCTGAGAGACAGGCGAAACGAAGGACCCGCATGGTGTGGTGGTGAACGCGTTACTCCCCGGAAAGGACAATAGGGCGTTCGTTCTCCATCGCATACACCTATGGTCCGAAGTTTCGCAAATATCTCAGCATCATTGAAGCTATATTTTGCAATATACCCTGCCGCTAAAAAGAGTAGGCAGTAAATAATAAATCAAAAAAAACAACGCCCAACTCTTCAAACATCAGGCACGTGGGCACAATCCAGAAAAAAGCCAATGGTTAGTGTTCCCATTCTTCCACCAAGATTGTGCTTACTCTTGTTTGTAATGGAAAAGTAAAGCTCTTAGTGTTGCTCAATGCGTGAGGGATACGCCTTGCTTAATGTTAGACAACAACGCCCAATGTTCAGAGTACTGAGACTTCGTTACTCGTTGGCTAGTTTGTTATCCCATGGAATCCTGACTTATCGTTGCTAGCCTTTAGGTTTTAAAGAAAGGCAGTCACTAGCCATTCTGGGATCAGAAGTAAGTTTTACACCAGCAGCAATTTCTACGATTTGTCGAACCACTTCTTGATTCAGACACGATATATTAGGTCTAATAAAAGGTGGAAATACAAAAATTAAGTTAGTAGACCACTCAAAAGCCATGTAAAAAACCGGATCTTCCGGACCCTCGCGAGCTTTAAAGGTGAGCCGTCTACACTAGCTATTTCTTATAGCTAAAAAGCTAATGAGTACTCCACCTGGCGGCCCTCATCGACTTACGAAAATCTTCGTGTTCATCCTCCTCCTACTGCTTTCTACATCATGGACTGTTATCCATTCTTCTTATAGGTTTCTGTCATCTGTTCCAGTATTGAGCAACACTGCAGCTGAGGTCTTGGATGCACTGGATCCTATCTAGCAGATTTTTGGTAAACTTCCCTTTATTGATGGAAAAATAGTGCTGCATGTTTACGTAGCAGTCTGTAGTCTCTAACTTTGTAGTTTGGGTTCATATATCTTCATTTCATTTGTAAGGTGTTGAATTTTTCAAAGTGATTCCAATTCTGTCGTAACAATTCATACCAAGTGAAGTTTCTGTTTATCTCTTAAGAAGTTATAAGCGAGCTTCGCTTGATATCCCTCCAACGCCTTCTTTTCCACAATTCAATTGATTCTTACAAATCTTCAGTACTTTCTGATATCCTTCCGAGGTGGTTTCAGTAACCGTTTTCTTATTTGAGCTACACAAATTATCAAAATAGTGACAGATGCCATGCTTGTCATTTCTTTGTGCAGATAATTCTCACCCCATCCCTTCCGAAGGCAGATTCTCAACTTCTGTCCATTAACCTCACTCAGTGTTATATTAACTCTAACAAGCTTCATTCGTTCACCGACGGCCTTTTGCATCTTTGTTCGTCCAGGTGAAGATGCAACGGACTTCTTGCTAAGTTCGTCTAGACCTATTTTTTATCTTCATGGAAAGGAGTGTCATTTTCTTAAAGGGCAAGATGCTCACGATTACTCATGCGCTGAGCTTAGCAAGTCTAAGGAATTGAAACATCGATAGATGGGCCGATCAGCTTGGCTCAATGTGCTAAAGTGCCTTTGTATTGCATTTTTGTTTCAAAGGCAGAAATACGGTCGTTTCCTTTTGCGATTATGGTGAATAATCAGCTTTTCACATATGTATAGATCCTTGCAAGCCATGTAATGTATCCATATAGCATAAAGGTAAAGGCTTATGGCAGAACCCCTAAAATCAAACCGGCTGGAAAACGTGGACCTTGCGTGATAATTTCTAACAGCTGGAAAATGTATTCCTGTAACTGTTAGCAAGCACAATAATACTCGGTAGTTCACTGGTTGTAATGGAGTTCAGTCTGCGCAGTGTCCTATTTCGACCCGGCTCTAGTTCAAAATAGCCATTGATTTGGCGTCAGACTTGTCTGGAAGGATTTCTCCACATAACCCAAGAACGTCCTAGCACGGTTATCGCAGAATAGGCCCTCGGTGAGATGGAATTGACTCGACAAGCATTCAGCCATACTTATAAAGAAAAAACCCGAGCAGCCGAAAACAAAGGAGAATTCAAAAGCCTTCGTGAGTGGTGGAAACGAGGTGAATTGGGTAAGTGCTGGGCTCGGCACGAGGCATTTGAGGATGATTCGTGTAAAAAGCTTTAGCCCACACTAAAATACGACCCATACACCGTTAACGTGAGTGAGTATGCAGTTGCGGCCTTCCTCTACTAATGCCCAGTTTCTCAAAGCAGCAATATACCTCGTAATATGGTACCTCTTTTCTCTAGCCTTTCATCATATCCCTAGTACCTCGGGAGACTTCCTGCATTTGAATCGGGATTTTCGCGGCAATACCAATTAGATGTGCATGTTATTATTCGCGAGCGGTTGCGTCGCGTTTAAGGTCATGGACTAGGGGGCGGAGCATGGCGGTCCAGGCGTTGGGTTTCTCTAGACTTTGTGAAGTTTTATCCGTTACGTTGTCGTCTTTGATGCATTTATTGAATTATTGAGTTACGATTTGTGTTATATGTGAAATCATTTTGCTGAATTTCAGGTTTTCGACCGCTCACAAAAGTCCGCTGCGATGGCGGTAAGCGTCTCACTCTGCTTCTGAAAAAACGTTGAAATTTCTGTCCCGTTTTTTGGCGACACCAGTTTTTTTCTTGTTCAGTATGGTGGCTATGCTGGTTATGGACCAAACTATATGACTGGACATGAGAATGACTCCGCAGGCATGTACAATCCTCGTACGCACTCGAAAGTTGCCGAAAAGGAAGGATTTCATATGGGAGGAACAGATGAACCAAGAACATTGTGAGTTTATTCAACGTTATGTTTGAGCAGAATTACAATGCTGAGTCTATCAGTTACGGTCATAATTAGCTAGGAGAAAGTGGTTAGGGAGATTCTGCCTAGCACGGTAGCCTGTGCAATGAGTCTTTTCAGGTCAAGTTGGACGGCTTACGCGATGCACAGTGGAAAGCTGTTTGTATTGCCGGGTACAGGGTACAAATGCGATGAATAATACGCATGCGTTCCCTTTGTTTTTTACGCCGTATTTGTTGCATATGCTTGTAGGCTCTTATGTTCATTTGATACTGGGATCAAACCGGTTTCGAATATTTTTTCAGCGCTATTGTCCCAGCATCAAAAGAACATTGGATCCCACAAGTATACGCAAGAAATGTGAAGTAAAAAACAGTCGGGTGCCGGGCGCTATGTTTTTCGTATTCGTACATGGCAGCATGTACAGCTTTCCGCTGTGCATCGAGTAAGCCGTCCAGCTCGACCTAAAAAGGCTCATCGCATGCGTTACCGTGCAAAGCAGTGTTAATTTATATATCGCGTCCGTGTACGACTTGGTAATGGTAAACGTCCAGTAACTAAAGGTTACACTTACCAGAAGCCTAAGACGCATAGAGTTAGAGAGAGTTTTGCAGATATGTGGGGAACTTGGATCCTTCAGTAACCGAGGAGTTCATTGGGACATTGTTCGGTCAGATTGGAACTGTGACAAAGACTAAAGTCATATTCGATGTACGTTTTATTCTATCATGCATTGTTTGTGCTAGCACTAACGAGATTTCAGATTAGTATTTATCGCAGACTGTTTGAGGTGCATGAAGCGGCCCGAGATTTTTTCAATCAAGCGACGTGTTACTGCTTGTCAACAATAGTTTCTCTTTGAATAATTGTAACTTCTGGCTCTATAACTCTTATGTAAAGTGTCCAATATATGGGGTGAGGTACATATGAACTGTTTCTTGCTCATTAGGGCGCGTTTTCTCTTGCCTCGTTTATGTTCATCATTCTTGTTGTTGATGGTCTAAGCGGGTTATGGTGGTAAGTAACACGCTCTACCTTACCTTTTCTTTTCGTTTCATTGCATTTGCGCTCTTGCGCACTTTTGCTGTTTTCGGTTTCGATTTTTGATTGCATTTTGATTGTGCGGCATTCCACAATGAGTGTCCCTTTCGCAGGTGCGGCGACTACCAATGGGTAACCAACGTAACGTACCGTACACGTAGTTTCGACCTCGTCGCAAACTGCGGCCTCAAAGAGTATCCGTTTACCACATACGCTTTCGTTATGATTTTCCTTATTATTTCCGCATTCGTTTTCCATTCGTTTTTCATTCTTGTTTTCGCGACGCGCATTAGATATGTTAGGAGATCATTTTTTCATACACTTACACCAAGAGGGGACACTGATTCTTCACGGTGTGGAGTTTTTGAAATCCAAGCGAGTTCTTTTCTTGAATTACTACGCCGTTTAGGGAACCAATGATCCTTATGCCTTCGTTGAATTCTCAGATCATAATATGGCTGCTCAGGCGTTGCAAACTATGAACAGACGCATGCTACTGGATAAGGCGAGTTTTATAACGTTGCTACCAAAATCATTTGTTCTTACCTAGAAACATTGTTCTTATTTTAGGAAATGAAGGTCAATTGGGCAGTCGAACCAGGACAACAACAACCGAAGATTGACACTAGCAGTATGTTTTGTTTTATTAGTATTGAAATCTCGTCATTTTACGTTATATTTGAACATTATTCCAGAACACTTCCATGTGTTTGTTGGCGATCTCTCTCCAGAAGTTGATAACAAGGCTCTCAAGGAGGCATTTGCTCCATTCGGAGATGTTAGGTGCGCATCCGAATAATTGAGTCGATTACTCATAGTTATTGGGATTATTTAGTGATGCGAAGGTTATTCGTGACGTGACAACCTTGAAGTCAAAGGGTTACGGCTTCGTTTCGTATCCTAAACGTGAAGTGAGAAATTTTGTACACGACTCTCTTGTGCGATTCTACACATTTTGGGGTGATATCGTTACTTAGGAAGCTGAACGAGCTATTGAGCAAATGAATGGTCAGTGGCTCGGTCGTCGTACTATACGTACAAATTGGGCCACACGCAAACCAGGACAAGGCGGTGGGGACCAGCCTGCGTCAAATGAAAAGACCTATGAAGATATCTTCAATATGACTACGCCTGATAATACTTCCGTATACGTTGGAAATGTGGCTGGAGGAGTATGTGGTGGGTACATATATATTCTGTTTATGGCCGTAACGCATAGCGGTGCAAAAACGTCCAATATCTGGTGTACTTTTACAGAGGAAGATATACGGGAAGCTTTCGGAAGATTCGGTAGAATTCTGGAAGTTAGAATCTTCAAGGTTCAAGGTTACGCATTTGTTAAGTTCGACTCGAAGGACTGTGCCTGTCGAGCTATCCTGCAAATGAATGGCGGCGACCTTGGAGGGAATACTATCCGTTGTTCATGGGGGAAGACAAGCGATGTAAGTTTTCTCTAGAAAGAGAAATCGTCACGACTTCGAACTGCTTTTTCAGTCAGAGAAACGCCAGCAGGGTTACAGTAATTATGGCCAGGGTGCATATGGCTACGGAGGGCAAGCCACCGGAAGCAGTGGTTATGGCCCTCCTGCGAGTACTGGACCAGGGGGAGCAGCAGCAGCAGCTGCTGCTCAAGCTCAGCAGCAGTATTACAACTACTATGCACAATATTACAGCAATCCCCAAGTGATGCAGCAGTGGGCCAGGTAGTGTTTAGTTTTTCTTTTTTTATTTCAGTGATGAATTTATAGTTTCCAGTTATTGGCAGCAACAGCAAGGCGGTGCTGGGCAAGCAGGTTCAGGTGCTGCAAATGGAAATCGTTAAATGGTGTATGAATAGAAGAGGCTTATATGGGCACTCGTCATCTTTTGTCTGTTGTTTACATTTTCCTCCTAAATCCGTTCTATCTGTGTCGTTTACGAGTTGGGCCAGTCCTTATCTTTTTTTATACAGCTACATAATCAATTTGACCTAACTACACTGGCGACATCCAATGTTTTAGTTGCAGTTCGTTTTATTGGTGTTCTTTATATATGTTGACTGTTGTGAGTTAATGAAAATTGGATATTTAGCGTTATTTCATGGTAGTGCACGTCAACGATGTGTCAGGGGTATTCCAGCGGCAAGGCGGTGCATTCGGCAGAGCAGTTGGAATTTAGAAAACATTGTTGTTGAGAAGGGGCGGATGTAACGAAACTATAGCAAAACCATGTATTGTTGTTATGGTAAGTTTGTGGCTACCGATGGTGAAGTGGTAACGGAGATCTGTTGCTGCGGTGCAGAAGTGGTGTTCCATTTTGGGTGAAATTTCTGAAGTACTGTAAGAGGTTTTGGCATACAATTTCCGTTGGATAAAAACCGTCCAGAGCTACATATTTTTGTTAACAAGATGGAAGTTTGTTTATCCATATGACTTAGGTTTACTTATCCAGTCTTTTTCGTACAAGAAGGCTACAACAGACTTATGAGACTTAAGACCTTTTTGGTGTTTGCTTAACTTGTATGCCAGGGCATCTGATAAACTTCTTGACCCTTCCGACATCTTCCAAATGATAGCGGAACCGCTCGACAATCCATCGGGCCCTATTTGAAGCGAGAGCTTTAGTTATTGCTTCGAAATAGTCATCGTCAACTGAATGACAGAAACTGAGCACCTTCTCTAAGGTGGATTAAGATATTGCAAAAGTAAGTCTTCCAAGTGTACGTGTTAAGCATTCGGAGTCCTTTCTCGGTAGTGATTCAGTGACACTTCAAGTTGATTACATTGCTTTATGCTCAAGTTTGAATGGATGAAGTTAAACGATACTCCATAGTTTAGGAGCATCGTTCTAAGCAGCTCTAAATCGTAAGCCATTTCTTGGAAAAACATGTACCTCAACAATATATTATAACAAGTAATTAACAGAGAATTCATTTACAAGTTCTACAAAGACGAAAGCGGCTATTATTTATGAAACAACTAGATATTCACAAGTACCCGCGATGTTATCATCATCGTAATTCCCTGAGTGAATTGGAAGAGACTATGTTAATGAAAACAGAAGACAACAAACATTAGGAAGCATTAGTATGTTAGGGCATTTATGTACTTGTTTCATTAGTGTGACTATTTCGCGATGTCATAGACCGACAGCTGGGATGCTTGTCGAAGAATGACGATTTCGAAGGCTGGAGCAGGATAGTCGAGATCAAAGTGACAAGGAACGACTCGATAACGGTGATTAGGTTCTTCCAGACTGAAAATGAATCGGATTAAACGGATCGGACGAATGCCTAGATTCCAGTCACTACTTACTTGCATGCCTATTATTATCGTTTCTTGTGATTCGGAAATCTACGAAAGTCATGGATCTAAGTTTGTTGGGCTCTAACGTTTTCGTTGTGCCGTTAAAGGAACATAACTAAGTGGTTTTCAAACCTCCATAGTAGTTCACTTATAAAAGGACGGATATTCCAATTATTGTTGAAAGCGTTATGAAACGGTTTCCCAAAGGTTTGGCGCCTCATCGCGACTGAATGATGTTCCTGGGTATCGGACTGTGGTGCACAATGGGTAGGAGTTATTCCTTCAGCAGGGTCTTCCAACCTGAGAAGGAAACCAATGTTTCCAACCAGAAGCTCGATTAGGAGTAAAACAATACCAAGAGCTATCGCCGTACTAAAATCAAATCAGCCGCAAGGTGGCAAATCCTCCCCTAATCCACAAGAACCAGCGACTGCCTGTGGTGGTGAACAGTCGAGGGAGACGTCGGCTAGGTTGACCTCGGAACTCCAGTGAACCAGAATGGTTCAACCAGCCAAACTTCACGAAGAATGAAATCAGCATTGAATAGTCAGATGTGAACCAGCGCAGCTACAGTCTGCCTCTAAGGCTAACCGAGCCACCGCGGCGATTATTTATTTAGCTCCATACCCCTCACACTGGGTATTCCCGTCTACGACGTCGAATTGTGAGACAGCCGGTGAAAAGCGATCAAATCTCGAGTTGTACAAGACGTCATTGCAAACGGACAGAACGAGCACGCCAACAGCACGCCGTGCAGACTCCTTACTTGTACACTCAAAACACCAGAACAGTTTCATCACGCTATCTTTAAGCTTTTAACTTATTACTTTCTGCCTACTCTTTTTAATGGCAGGGTATATTGCGAAATATAACTTCAATGATGCTGAGATATTTGCAAAACTCCGGACCGCAGGTGTATGCGGTGGGGCACGAACGGGCTATTGTCCTTTCCGGTTTCCGGGAAGTAACGCGTTCACCACCACACCATGCGGGTCCTTCATTTCGCCCGTCTGTCAGCTAGTTCTATCGATCTTTACCACAACAATCAACCGTCAGCGGGATTGATCTGGGGGGTCCAAATCGGCAACGAACCCAGTTAAGCTAAGGCCGTAGTTATACCCTGCCATTAAAAAGAGCAGGCAGAAAGTAATAAGTTAAAATTGTGATTATAACTACGGCCTCGGCTTAACAGGGTTCGTTGCCGATTTAGACCCCCCAGATCAATCCCGCTGACGGGTGGTTGTGGCAAAGATCGATAGAACTAGCTGACAGACGGGCGAAATGAAGGACCCGCATGGTGTGGTGGTGAACGCGTTACTCCACGGAAAGGATAATAGCGCGTTCGTTCCCCACCGCAGGCACCTGCGGTCCGGAGCTTTGCAAATATCTCAGCATCATTGAAGTTATCTTTACGCTCTTCTTGGGGTCGCTGGACAAATGAAATTCCACATGATGTCACTACAAGAAACGAAAAGCAGGAAGTCCAAATTCCGGTTAAGCAATTTCGGAGGCGTTGGTTTTGTCGCACACCCTTTCATGTCACATCTATTCACCTTATAAGAAATTCGACCACCGCGCTTCGCCATTCCTTGTTTTCAATTTTCTCATCAAAAGGAAGTATTATCGTCTGTTAATCATCAACTTGTACAGATAATAAAAGGGAGCTGGACGTGTTCTACAGCCCGCCACGAATCATGGGTTCATTCATCAAGCATATTCTTGCGAACAGAAGATGGTACTTCTTTGACACCTCATTGGTACTCGAATTCTGTACTGGATCCAATCACCGTCTTCTTCGTTTGAAGAATCGATTCAGCCATATGTTAGAAAAGTACTCGTGTCCACCGTCCAAGAAAAACAAGACAAGTGTACGACGAAAACATTTTCAGTAAAATCCTCTCCTCATATGACTGGAAAATGAATAAAGACCCGATTGAAAAATACAAATTGCGCAGCATTTCCACTTACACTAAGGAGTTGCTCGAAAAGAGGAGACTGAAGCGCAATCGTACTGCAACATACCCTACATGGCTGATAATAAATGTCAATTGCAGAAAAGCTTTGCAGGAAAATCTAAATCGGCACTGGCAAAAGAAAGTATTAGTAGCAGTACAAAAAAGAACGCGTCTGAAAAGCTGCTGTTGGAATGTTTTCGACTGTAATGTTCCTTTATCCGAATTGAAGAGACGTGTGTAGTCCAATGGTTGGAGATGCCCTTGCAATACACGTGGGATCGATCCCCGCACCCCGGGCCCATGAAGCCCTTCAATCCTCCGGAGTTGGTAAATTGGAACCAGGCTTGTCTGGGAGGATCATCACTGGCTCAACACATCGATAGGCTACCGCGAGCCATTTTAGAGGCCAGATATTCATTTAATCACCTCCAACGATGCTTAATGAAGTCGAATGCATGCCGCATCGATACGTCAACGTCGAGAGTTCTATCTTTTATCCTTTTACCCACCCTGATGAACAATGAGAGGACTATCACTTCACCACGCCATAATATGAAATTGATAATGGGAAGATTCTACACCGATATCCTCGGCTCTAGAAGTTCGTCCTACACTAACCCTTTCCGTTCCACAATCCCCGTCCCGAAGCTTAGTATCCCCGGTGGTGAAAACCGTCAGAGATTCTACTCTCTGAAGTTCGAGCTTCGATAGAAAACATGAAGAGAGGCACAGCTCCAGAATCCGGCAATATCACCGTCGATTTCCTTAGAGCTGGTGTCCACAAATTACAAGCACGTCTGGCAACACATATATCTTATCATCAGAAAGAGAAAATCCTACACTAGGAGAGGACATCTCGTACGGCCATCCTACCCAACAAGCTTGACAGAAAGAATCTTTATAATTAATGTCCAATATGCCTGTTGAGTGTATTCTACAAGTTTTTCACGAAGCTTATCAATTTGCGCATATCGAAGACCTTCGATGAGGCACAACCGTTGAGCAAACAGGATTCCGAAAGGGATTCTACTGTATGGACCACATTCACACCGTACACAGAAGTCACAGAAGGTCACAGAAGTCTGTCGGGAGTACCATCTGTACCTTTTTCCTAACCTTTATCGACTACAAGAAAGCATTTAATAGCGTCGAAACAAATGCAATCCTGTCAGCGCTCGTAACGAAGCAGAAAAAAGGAATGGACTGCGCAGAATATTAAGAAGATTCAGTTTAAGAAGAATTGATGATGTGAAGGAGAACAAGTCGAAGTGGATGGTTCTCTTATAAACACCGCTTCGTACGTGTACCTCGAACATTCGACGAACACGGGGAAGGAGGAAATAGACATGATGAGTGCAGCATGGGCCGCATTCGGGCATCTCAAAGAAACCATTGACCAACTAAGGGACTCAAAACCCCACGCCCATATTCTCGATTGTCACTTTTTCATAACCAGGAATAGTAAAAAAGTAGAGCCTTAGCTTGAGCAGAGGATTCAAAATACTACACAAAGGTTTGAGAAAAAGTAGTTGGTATTAGTTATTATCTTTCAGTACTACATGCCAACTGACCATGAATCCTAGTAGTCATTAATGCAGGTGATTAAGCCAAACATTGGCACATTGATCTTTAGCAAGTAACATACAAAGAAACACTTGGTCCATCCAGACAACTTCCACCTCTTTCCTTTGCGTCAGAAGGCAGCATCATTAAGCGCTGCTGTCTAATAACAGAATATGGAAACTTGGTAAATAACTCGCTCCAAAATGATCCAAAATGAAGCTTATCACTGACAACGAAAGACGCGTGATAAAATACACCACACAACAATGGTTAAAGAGTCCGCAGCTTTGCAAATGATAAACTCAACGAAATGGCAACTACATGAAGAGTTTCCTTTTATATAAAGTTTGTGATGATAATCAAACAGAGTTATGCGAATAATATCCTGAATGAAAGTTCTGGACAGTGGAGAACAGGAAAAGGCAAAAGAGAAGAATAAGGCACTTAGATAGACCCTAGAATAGAACATAGATAAAATGAAAGTTCTACAACTTTCAATTCACTTGCTTAACGGTTCTCAGTGAACATGCCAACGTTAGCGAACCGAAACACATCGATTCATTAGTTATTTCATAGAAACGGATTTAAAAATGGGCGATAAAGACCGACTCTGGAGCAGATTCAAAGACAAGCCAAGGAACTTTGTAAAGGATGAGCTACAAGCTTCCTGATTTCCCAGATCGCTTCACCAGGTCTTTTCATCCAAAACAGACTTCTGCAGTGCACTCTGTCTCAGTGAAAACCTAGTCCACTTATTAATAACTTCCAGAAAGGAAATAGAGAAAGAAGTAAGCATTTAAGGATTTCACTGCACTGTAAACCTCTGATGTGGTTGTGTGCATTGTGTGCCGTTCGCATCAGTCCGTTACTCGTCGAACGTTATAGGAAAGTCGTCTTACATCATTTACTATCATAAAATGCTAATGTATATCGGTGCCCATGAAAAGGCTCTGTTCAGGAGAAAATGTGTCCCGCTGTTTTGGAAAACTTCAAAACTAGACGTGTATAATGTGGTATACCTCAACAATACTTACAAAAAGGTAAGATTTTGCTATTTTACTAAGTAAATTCTCAAGAAAACTATGCCTAAACCAGAACTGCTGATTAAAATTTCGAACAGCATCAGTGGTACACCAAGTGGATGACCTCAAGATTCGATTCCCGAACACTCATAGGTAGCGATGTCGCTTTTTTTGTATCTTTACGAGTTGTGGTCTATTGCAGTTAGTTTACCAATTACTATGGGATTAGAGAGAGGCGCGTGTGGCGCAGTAGTTGGAGGCGCCATCCAAACGATTCTTAATGAAGTCGCATGGTGTATGCCTCAGGGATTGAACAATGCCGAGAGTTTTATCCACATCCATTTTATCGGATTAGAGGATTTTGTACCTAGTATACTGCAGAGATTCGGAACTGGACTGTAACTGGGAAAAATCTAAAAACACTTGTCAATCAAAGGCATGATTTGGAAATGTTTTTACTTGAATAAAACTAGATTCACAAACTCACAAAATGATGTTTCAATCGCCGGTAAAACTGTTCCACAACCAAAAACGCCGTAACGAGCTAGAAAATCAAAAATCGGTTGTTGTAATCCAAAGCACATAAAGAACACGTCAAGAATTCGAAACACAACGACATATCGATATGGGATCAGTTCGTCCTGAAAGAGAAACATTCAGGGAAATTCTGCGATATCCGAAAGACGCAATGACGAACCAAACGCGAAACCGTCGTCACCAAAATGTGCGTACCGTAAATACCAGCTAGCAGCGATGGAAGAGTAATGAAATCCAAGACTTTTAAAATCCTGAAATTGTCCAAGTTCACAAAACATGATGATCTATCCGGTGTGTTACATTGGATGATAAGGCTCACACAAATGCATTGTTTTGGTATTCGAAGTATATTACAAGGCTTGCCAAAGTTGCAAAAAGGCGAACGCATGGAGCTTGTAGTACCATTAGTTCACAGATTCGTACCTTCTTGCTGTAAAGAAAAAGTCGAGATTATGTAATAATATATAGGCCGCAAGAAGCATTAACGCTTGTAACTGATGCTACCATGTGGGAATTGCAAGTTATGTTTTGAACGCTAAATTTGGGTGATTAATCCATTGCACCGACAAGAAGTTGGCATGAAGCCACAATCGATAAACACGGCGAGGTTATACAACTATGGAAACGAGAAAAACACCGGATATGTGAGATGGATACTGTATTGACACTTAGGAGTGAAAGAGTACAACATCTCCATAAGACGAAAGTAGCATATTTTATAAACTAGGTCGGAATGTCCCAATAGTGGACGTGAAACTGATACCGACAGCACTTAGCATCTACTGATCTACTGAAACATAACCACAAGTATATTGACACATGTGCAAAAGTTGGAACTTCAGACGGGCCTTGAATCCGAGATCACCGTTGCCGGGAACACATGGACTACCCACCATGTCAACTGAGGCCCTTGCTAAGTATTTCTTACCTATAGTTGGATTTCACAGAATACAACTAAAAAACAATAGGTAGTAAAGAAAAGTGAAACATTGTGGTTTCGGCTGTAGCTTCAGAGTAACTGGGTTCAGTGCCAATCTGTGCACCCCAGATCTTTCCCGCTTACGGATGATTTCTGTTAAAATTGCTAGAGTAAACAACTGGAGGAGAGAAAGGCAAATAAGGGCCTCGGGTTGATGCGGCCGATAGCACGTGAGTCCCTGGAAACGGTAATCTCGAGTTCAAAGCCTGTCTGAGATTCCAAGTTTTGCTCATATCTCAGCATTCTTGTGGTTCTATTTCATGTAATACCCTACCATGGAAAAAAGAGTAGATGAAAGTTAAATATTACAAAACACACAATAGACGGAAGTATTTCAGAATGACCCATGGCTAGTGAGACGAAAGATAAAGTAGTAATTTGTCTAAACAGGCAGAAGGGAGTCTCCATGAGATAGAGGAGGTCACAAGAAGTCTACTCGTTAAGGAGTTGATTGGAGTGTCGCTCTCTCAGATAGTTTTGAAGTTCCGTTGACGTAGTGCTTTTCTGTATTGTTACCTTCGCCGCTGATTTAATAGCCGTTGAAGGCTTCATCTCTTGAGATTGAGCAAGGTATACAGCGGACCTAAGAAGTCGGTCAAAGAATTCCAGCTATAAATCTGAGCTGCAGTGATTTGTTTGCCTTCTCGATCAGTAATGCGCCGCATCAAGAAGAAGAGAGACATCAATTCCTGTATTAAACACTCTTTAGGTTTGGTGGAAATTTTTGTCTATGAGGATATGCACCAAATAACGAGAGAATTGGCTAATCATCTTGACTGTATTCCACAGGTAGTGCACAATCACTTCACACAAATGGGAAAAATTCAAATGCTCACAATGACTGCACAGCCACCCAATAGTACTCAGTCCCCAGTGTTCTTCTTATTTTGTATGAAAACCAACTTTATAGCATAAAAACTGAAGCAAAATTCAACTGCGATCAATTTACGTTTAGCATCTAATGCGCTTCTAAATGAAGACTGCGCTTTCATGCAGCTTGAGAAAAAGGGAACAGATTAAGCTTAGAACCATGCATTTTCCGAATCTTATAGAAAACTTCAAAATCTAATGGGACTTCACACCAAACTAAAGTCCCCATTGGTTAACTCATTACTGAACTTCTATAGAACATACTCACCTCTCCAGTTGAACTTTCGGCAAACATGGGAATACGCAGCAAAATGGCGGTGTGGCGACTTCGATGTGTTGTAAGTGCTCACTTAACTTACTAACTAACGAATGATGTCCTTGGAATATCTGCATAAGAAGGCAGATGATAACCCAAAGCGCAACCGAAAAATATCTAAAGAAGAAGAAAATAAATTAAGATTCTAGCTTTTAAGGTGCATGGCGCATCTCTCAGAGATTGATCAACGCCGAGAATCTCATCCTTTATCATTTTTTTTTTCTATATAAACAAGTGAGATTCGGTCTGCTATATCACTTTTGAACTGTTGGTTGAATAACTGCAGGAGCTGCTGCCGTCCTAGAAGAATTTTAGCTGCAACGCAATAAACCCCCACCCCCTCACTCTCATAGGCCACTGACAACCTATAGTGAAGATCTAGAAACTCTATGGTGCAGCTTCCTTAATAATCTAGAGAAAAGCACCTTTACACGAATTCCGAAACTCTAATAAGTGGAAAAAGGGACGGATTCTCAATATTGTCAATACACTGCTCACACATGGACCCGTTTACCCTCATGGAGAACAGCTGCAGGAGTGAAAACGAAGCGAATCGAGGAAGTGCTGCGATGCTTACTGTTACTTCGCGCTATAATGGTCACCAATTTTCTAGGTATTTAAAACGAGCCAAAAAAAAAACTTTGCAAGTGAAAATCGGTATTTAAGAAGCAGGACATGGATTAAAATCAATTAAGACTTCTACGAATCATCAGTGTTTAAGACAATACTTTAAAAGGTAGTGAAACAGATAGGAAAAAAAACTCACAGAAAACTTATGAGATGCGATAAAAACCATACTCGGGGCATATACATGGCGATTAATGATAGCACAGAGACCAACTAAATATGTACTGCCTACTAGAGTTTCTAAGCCCAGAAGTAAATATGAAATTACACTTACTGGGGCTGTACTCGCCAGATATACGATGAATAGCCGTCTATCTGACTGTGTGATGTACACAGAAATGTATAGTACATGGATAACACCAAGAAATGTAGTGGCCAAGCATACTATAGTGGACAAAATCAATGCGATTACATATGAAGTCGAGAGTTCTGAAATTTCAGTAGTTATGGATGTGAAGGAATAAAAACGGTTCCATTGTTCTCTACGGGTACTTCTAGCTTATCAGTCGTATTAAAGGCATACGGCAACGAGAAGAAGAAGACGTGAATGAAATCAACGTTTACAATCAATGCTTAACACATTCCTCTCAACGGTTTACCGCCTCATTGTGGCTGGAAGGTGTTCTTGGGCGTCGGGATGTGATGTACAGCGGGTGGGATCCATCCTCCTGGCAGGGTCTCCCAAGCTGAGATGGAGATCAGTGCTTCCATCAGGAAGTCTAGTTAAGGCTAAACCAATACCAGGATCTACTACTGTCCTGGTATCAAAGTCACATAGTGGCAAATCTCCCTCTGATCCACAAAGGCTGCGACTGCCGGTGTTGGTGAAGACCTGGGCAGACTTTGGCCAAGCTGATCTCGGGATTCCAGGGAACCACAATGGCTTAACCAGAAAAATTCCGAAAAATGGAGGTTTTGCCGGGGCCTGCACAACTAGTGAGGATGGGCCATTCAAGTATCAAGTAAGCAAGTTTAACACATTATCTTGCATTTCTGGGTAAATCATTCCCATAAGATGAAAAACTTTAAATACCCTTGTGAACATATTACCATTGACAGCTATTTGACGGCATGACCTCTACAGGAGTCATTTGCTAGGAGATACAATGCTTGGTATGATCTCTATGGAGGTTACTTCGACTCGGTGACTTATTTTGGCGCACAGAACTACTTTTCCAGAGTTCCTGTTAGCTTCGCTGATTATGTGAACGAAGTGAGTGAAGTATTACATTTTTAGTAGACTTAGAAATGGATGCTTATTCGTATACAGTGGAGAACACGGCTGACAAAACAATCATATTTTATAACATTACGATATTAAAAAAAACTGACGTCTTAGAAAATCGCCAGTCTGCGGTATTTCGGGCAAATCCGTGCAATTGAGAAGAGAGTCAGTAAGCAACTTCACCAAAGTGTCGAAGACCGTCATTGTGGTGCAGTCATTGGTCTAAAACGAGATTTTGAGAAATAAGCAGCGAGAAAGAAGACATTCAACATCAGGGTCGACATTCAATGACCGGTAGAAAAATTGCCTCAATAGCATTTTAGTAAATCTTTCATTCAGATTGATTACTTTTTCGATGTCCTTCAAATGCAGAGGTTAGAGCATGCGGAACTAAACGACGACCAATAGAAGATAGTAGACTGTTTCAAACAACACTTTGAATTCAATAAGAATCCAGAAGATAACCAAGCATTGGGTTATCATGAAAATCTCGAATGTAGTTAATGATACCCGCTCATCGTTATGGAAACCGCTATGAGCAACAAGTTATGTGTAAGCTATTAAATTGCGAATAAGAAACGGAAAGCTTTACTTCTATTGACGACCTTAGTGCTACTGGTAGAATTCATTATAGAAAGTGCTCATGAGACGAGAGATTACGAAATACGTCTGGCATTGGTGCTAAACATCAAGAGCTTATAAAAGAAAGAACGACGGATGGCTCATGATTGGTGGCCGGGACAAATCTTTCTATCGCTGCCGAATTCGATCTACAGTTATGAAAAACGTTTTATCATTAATAAATCCAAATCGCTCCAGTCCATGGAAAATATGTTCAGATGTAAATGCAAAAGGTGGATGAAGTTTCCTTAATTAATAGCGTTTCACATTTTAAATACTTTGGATGGCTTAATGGAACATTTAGGTGGTCGGTAGCTCAATGGTAGTGAAGCCGTTCATCACGAGTACGGTATCGGCTTGATCCCACGCCGCGCTCACCTAGCCTATCCCTTCGAGGTCGGCAAATTGGTATCAGACTTGTGCGGAAAAAGTTCACTCTCTCCAATCCAAGTGAGTACGTTCTAGCCTGGCTATCTCAGAACTCCAGGGAGAATCGACTAGACCAAGATTCAACGACATTCAAGAAAGTCCTCAAGCAGCTGCCGAAGCCGAAATGTAGACAGCTGGAAGATCTTCTGGATGTTTGTATGTGAGGAAACGAATCGAATGAAAACGAGGCGTGGATTCTACAACATATTCAGCTTACTGAAAGGATCCCCCTTAGATGATCTAGGCGACTATTTCTACGTTCCCATATTTGTATTCGACTTAGCACATCATGTCTGAATCAAATCATTGTTCGACTAATCGTAGAAATCGTACCAGATACAAAATTTCACTTCGATCCATATAGGCTGAAACTGCTTTGCGTCAACAGCTAAAATGCCCGAGAAAGGATACGTCGGAACTGCAAGGAATCACAAACTACCAAACCAGGAACAAATTCTCACTACTTCACAAACTCGCAGTTCCTGTCTAGCCTGCCCCATGTGGTGAGAAAATCGGTGGAAGGTGAACAGAACTGGAGTTGCGCAGGACTTCATTGCAACCGAAGCAAACTAATACATCCATGACAGAATCACAGAAATTGTACCCTGTACCCTAGTCGCAATAGCAGAACAGCATCTTTAAACGCCGATCTTCACGCTCCTCTTGAGGGGTAGGTCGCAACAAATTCCACATAATGGTTCTACAGGATATAAATGGCAGGAAGACGAACATACTTCACTTAAATGATGGGATCGTTGTCATCTGTGGAAAGGAGAACCTGTCACGATATGATGTTTTGTCGCTCAACCTTCTGTTACCTATATCGCCAACTCATAATAAATCCTTTCACCTCGTTGGGTCATCCGTTTTCAATACACGCGCCACAAGAAGATCAGTATCATTAATTGCTACTTACCGACCGGCACACCTGATGAGAACGAATTAAATGCGTTCTGTTATCGGTTGGAGGGAGTAATCCGCAATGATAAGCCAGCATATGGATTTGTTGTCGAAAACTTCGGTTCCGGACTAGGAAAGCGGAGTGAAGGTAGACACAGAAACATGAAATTAGGAAATAGAAATTGAACAGTGTGAATCCGTCTTACCAGACTCCTCTTCATATATAAAAACTCACTGTTATAGAGAGAAAGCTTTTGCTGGACAGTGAGTGCGGAACATCATGCCACAGACTGATCAAATTCTAGCAAACAAATGACGATTTTAATATGACACCCCCGCGACTCATCATTCCCCGCTGAGTTCGATCACTGCATTTGTTGTTATAATCCAAAAGAAAAAGAAAAGTCGTATATGACGAAAACATTCTGAACGAATGTTTTGCTTATTGAAACACTTAAAAGTGGTGTATCTAATGCAGAAAATTTTCGCAGGAAGACATACATAGGTGAAGATAGGACCATCAATATCTCCTACCATGATATAGCATTACACTTCAATCGTTCTCGTCAAATAAACCTCGATGCAGACCCCAAAACTTATACTGGCAAAAATCACTCAAGATTCCTCCCATTGAAGGATATGTAGCAATAGAAAGGATAAAGAAAAACATAACTTTAGAACCAGATAACAATACAGCCAATTTACTTCAAGCTCGATGCACTAAACTATATGCTCTACCCACAACCTCGTAAATTTACTTATTTCGATAACGGAAGAATCACTGACTAGTAGAGGACCTCATAAACTGTCATGCCTAAGTTCCACTTTCAATTCAGTGCTTACCTTCTGAGAAAATCCTCCAGTCATCCCAGCATTCTTCTAAGCACCAAAGAAGAGGGTTGAGGTGTCAATCGCGTCAAGAATTGTGCGCACTACCGATAGAGAAACGGATTGGTCTCCTATGCCCCTTCAAGCCTAACAGAACAAATACCTCCCAATGCTGCAGCTACGTCTACCTGGGCCAGGAAATTAACATGGTGAACGACTTTGCGTCAGAGCTAAGCAGGAGGAGGTGAGTTGTTTGAGGAGCATTCAAGATCATCGAGTATGTAGTGAGGAGAATAAAGAACAGCTGAGTCCATGCTAGGCGCGCCTTTTCTACTTCACGATTTTCCATGCCTTAACGTACGCGTCAAAAACTTAGTCGCCATGTACGCAAGATGAAAGATCATTCAAAGTTATTGAACGTGCAGAAGAAAGAACGATGCTAAGAGTTCCCAGTATCATGCAATTGAAGGAAAGGATCCAAAGCTCCGATATATACCGTGGATCAAAAATCAAAGACGCCGTGCTCTGCGCCAAAGCGTCGAAGATAAGGTGGCCTAGAAACGTAATGCATATGAACCACATGCGGTGGACAAGAGTCGTTAGTGACTGGATCCCTCGGGATGTTGAACGCACTACAGAAATACTACCGATCCTATGGTAAGAGTTCTTCACGGAAACCCTCAAAGAAATATGTGATCCTCTACGAGTCCAGAGCGAGCAAAACCCAATGGGATACTCTCGCAGACGATAAGGAAAAATGGAAGGTTTACTGGCACCCATTCGAGTCCCTTGACGATCAACGAGATGACAAGTGAACAGGTGATACAGATAACACCCATACAGCGTTTGGACGATAACTTCTAGACGGCATACCAAACACAGTGTGAAATGTGGAGGGCAAACCGTCAAAGGTTATCCCATCTTCAGTAACCATGGGACGGATAGCACAGTGGTTGTGATGTCTGTCATCACGAGGATGGTGCTAGTTCGATTCCCCTACGGGGCCAACCAAGCCCCTCATTCCTTCGGGGTCGGAAAATTGGTACCGGACTTCTCGGGAAAAAAACCATTCTTTGCAAACCAATTGGGAACGCTTCAGCCCAGCTATCTCAGAACTCCAGAAAGAATTGCTCGACTAGCATTCCACGACATTCAAGATGAAATGAAAACCCTCAACCCGCGACCGAAACCACACGTAAAAACTTGGAAGACCTTCGTGGAGTATGGATGAGAGGAAAGAAATTGCGCACGGTAGACGTGCAGGCGGATCAAATAACAAAATAAAACAATAATAAAAAAAATGTTTAACGTTTTTGTTTTCTGCCTTCTATAATTTTCATGGCAGGTTACTAAGCGAAATACAACCACAACGTTGCTGAGATATTTGCAAAACTCTGGACCGCAGGTGTCTATGGTGGGGAACGAACGCGCTATTGTCCTTTCCGGGGAGTAACGCGTTCACCACCACACCATGCGGGTCCTTTGTTTCGCACGTCTCTCAGCTATTTCTATCGATCTTTTTGCCACAGCAATCACCCGTCAGCGGGGTTGATCTGGGGAGCGCAAATCGGCATAGAACCCAGTTAAGCTATGGCTGCAGTTGAAATCACAATGTTTAACGTTTTTGTTTTCTGCCTTCTATAATTTTCATGGCAGGTTACTAAGCGAAATACAACCACAACGTTGCTGAGATATTTGCAAAACTCTGGACCGCAGGTGTCTATGGTGGGGAACGAACGCGCTATTGTCCTTTCCGGGGAGTAACGCGTTCACCACCACACCATGCGGGTCCTTTGTTTCGCACGTCTCTCAGCTATTTCTATCGATCTTTTTGCCACAGCAATCACCCGTCAGCGGGGTTGATCTGGGGAGCGCAAATCGGCATAGAACCCAGTTAAGCTATGGCTGCAGTTGAAATCACAATGTTTAACGTTTTTGTTTTCTGCCTTCTATAATTTTCATGGCAGGTTACTAAGCGAAATACAACCACAACGTTGCTGAGATAATAAAAAAAATCTTCAGTAACCAGAAGGTTACATCCCGAAAGATAAGCAAAAATGACCTGGTCATGCAATAAGTCGACGATAAATGACAAGGAAAATGGCAGAATGGACCAGAAAAAGATTCAAGAGACTTGTTGCACGACCATCAACAAGATGAGCGGTCATATTTGTGACCCATGTCGACTGGCTGTCCTCACAGCTGTAAATGCTTTGTGGATCAATGGATCGTTATTATATTGGAAACCACTGCCACAGCCGACGATCGCAAAAGAAGGAAACGAGTGGAAGTGGCGGAACCTTCAAACTCATAAGGATGGGCTATCCAAGCTCGAAGTAGGTAGGTGAGAAACTTCACTTTTTGAGTATACTGCTATAAACCCTGTTATCTCGTCTCAGTACAGTGAAGCGGTATTCTAGAATGTT